GGATCACTCCGCCAATTTGTAATGATTTGTAAAATTTGCTCGCGCACGCGTAAAATATTTCATTTATCCCTTTAATCTATTGTTCTGGAAAAAAAAAAATATTTATTGCGAACGATCAAGCTTTTAAATCGATCGATCTCGAATTTTAAGGAATTTTAAGGAATTATTCTGAGAAATTAATTTCGGAATTTTTCCAAGATAATCTAAACGATTTCTAAAAACGAAACTTTTGTTAGACTTTTCGACGAATTAATTTCGAACGAAACCAAAATTATAAATTACAGAGATCTAAATGTTGGATTAAAGAAGAAAATTCTTTATATAAAACTTAATTAGTGAAACTTAATTTAATTTCATTTCAATCGTAACGATCGACGAAGAAAAAATCGATTGTTCGGAATTTCGAAATTTTTCGCATCGCGAGAGAGACCAGATATAATAAAGGTTTGAACAAGCGCCTTGTTAGAAGTGGAGGACGATCGCGTGCACAAAGAAAAGAATGATTCGTATTTTTACGAATACAGATATATGTTACTCACTCGATTTCTCGAGCCCGCGTTTCCATCGATCCCACGAAACTTCGTGGTCGGATTAAATAAGGAAATAGCCACTTCCTGGTCGTTAATCACACGAGACACGTGTTCACGTGCATTACGTGTATTACGATCCGTATTCGGCTCGTTTATCAGGAAAAACGAGGCTGAAGATTAATATATCTCAAGTCACGAAATCTCTCTCTCTCTCTCTCTCTCTCTCTGCTCACCGTGTTATGTCGAATAACGGTAATTTCATTGTAAACTTGTATCTCCTCGGGACGACGTTAAATGGATTCCACGCATCGATTTTCTCCCGTTTTCTCCGATATTTATTATTACGTTTACGATCCTACGTTTCCTACCGTTGCCTCTGCCACTCGTGAAAGTTCACCTTTGAAATATTTTTCAAAGGAGAAAGAAAGAGAGAGAGAGAGAGAGAGAGAGAGAGAGAGAGAGAGAGAGAGAGAGAGAGAAGAGAAGAATAATTCGAATACGAAAATAGACGAAAAAAAGGAACGCGAAAATGGAAAATGCAATTTTCGAATATTACCGATCGGAATGACGGTTGAAGAAAAGGGTCGGTGTTCTCCTTTACCATCACAGCGTTCCTATGTGTTACGCTAATACGTTACGATGATACACGATTCGATGTACACTTTACGACCGTGTTTCTAATGAACAAAGTGGCTCGTGCAACTTTAACATCGCCAAAAGTACATTCGTTCGAGAGTAGGTGTATATAAAAAATAAGAGCCGCAATTGCTTATTCCATTGGCAAACTGGGCCACCAGTCAATAGTTGCCGATAAAATTTTAACCACTCTCACGCGCGATATTTTCTTCTTCGTTTTCTCTTCAAAAAGTGGCATTTGCTCCATTTTCGATTATATTTTCCACGCGTAACATTCCACGTTTTTCGTCATCATTTCATATTCATTTCATATGAAATATTTTCATTAAAAATTTCTATCAAAAAATCGGTAAGTCAAAAAAAGAAAAAAAAAACATTTGGAAGAAATGCGTGGATAAAACATTTTCATCGAATTTTGTGCGATTCGTCGCTCTTTCCTATTACGTCTGTTATTTCCACTGCTCTTTTTGCCCTGTTTAGAATCTCACCAACAATCAGGATTTGTTAATTAGAGACATCTTTCGACACCATTCCTTAATGCGAAACATCGATTCGAATCTCATTGTCTTCCTTTTCCTTCTTTCCCCCTCCCCTTCTGCATATAGAGATTAATATCATTGTTATCCCTCGTAATCTCGATTTCTCAATATATAT